CAGCGGCCATCAGCAAGGCAGGCTGCAGGCAGTGGGATCCTTACAGTTTCACAGTTGATTTAAATGAGTGGTTTACTTCAACATTTAGAAATGGTATGAACTAAACACACTTTTGATTATCAAGATATTGTAAAATAGTTATTTATAATATTAAAAAGAAGAGTGTTCTTTCAGTTGATTAATTCAGGATACAATTAAATAGTCTCTTGAGATAATTTGTATTTCTGGATTCAAATCAATTAAATAACAGTTCCTGTCCCCTGAAGGTCCTCAGAGACAGATTGATGTCGGAGGCCTAGTTCACTACACTGCTGTCCAGCCTCTCCTGAAAAAAACAAACCTTGACCCCTCAGTCGTGTCCAACTTCTGGCCTGTCTTCAAACTCCCATTTGTTTCTAAAGTACTGGAGAAAATAGTCGAGTCCCAGTTGAAGTGCTTCCTGGAAGGTCACACCATCTTAGAGCTATTCCAATCTGGTTTTAAACCTCTCCACAGCACTGAAACTGCCCTGCTGAAGGTCTTTAATGACATCTTCAGATCCACAGATACTGGTGATTCTGTGCTGCTTGTCCTGTTGGACCTCACGGCCGCCTTCGACACCATCGACCATGAGATCCTCATTGCTAGGTTAGAGCAGTGGGTGGGCGTCACAGGGTCAGCCCTGAATTGGTTCAGATCCTATTTCGCTGACAGATCCTTTTGTGTCTCCATCAAGGATTTTAGTTCCGCATAGGCAGAGCTTAAATGGGGGGTTCCGCAGGGGTCCATCCTGGGTCCCCTCCTATTCTCTTTATACCTGCTGCCGCTTGGTGCTATTTTCCGGAAACACAACATGCCCTTCCACTTCTATGCCGATGACTGTCAAATTTACTTCCCCCTAAGACACAATGGTACATACTCTATTCAACTGCTGCTCGACTGCCTGGCTGACATCAGGGACTGGATGGCTTTAAACTTCTTAAGTTTCAATGAAAAGAAGTCTGAAGTCATGTTGTTCCCTCCCAACAACACGATCACAAACCACTGCATCGACCTCTCTGCTCTAACCCTGTCAGAAAAACAAAGAGTCACTAATCTGGGAGTGATAATGGACCCTTCCCTGAAACTTAACAATCATGTAAACATGATTGTTAAATCATGTTTCTTCCAACTGAGGCGGCAGTCTAAACTGAAGCCCATATTATTATTATTGAGCATGCATCAGGATGAAGCCCATATTGTCCAAAAAGAACCTGGAGACATTAATACATACATTCATTACATCTAGGCTTGATTACTACAATTCACTCCTGTTTGGTATCAGTCAAACCTCCATTGCACAACTACAACTGGTCCAGAATGCAGCAGCCAGATTTTTAACCATTACAGGCAAAAGAGAGCACACTACACCAGTTTTGGCCTCACTGCACTGGTTACTGGTTCACTTTCGAATCCAGTTCAAAATACTGATGTATACCTACAAATCACTGAACAGTCCCCCCCCCCCCCCCCCCATCTCTCTGATCTGCTACAGCCGTATGTCCCACCACATTCCCTGAGGTCAGCGGACCAGTTGCTCCTCACAGTTCCAGGAACTCGTCTTAAGCGCAGAGGTGACGGGGCCTTCTCTGTAGCAGGACCAAGACTCTGGAACGAGTTACCTCTGCTTGTCAGACAGGCCCCCTCCCTCTCGGTTTTCAAGTCCCGTTTAAAAACTCACTACTATTCAGTAGCTTTCAACACCAGATGATCTGTGTTTTGATCCTGTATGCTCCACACTGGTTTGTCGTCATTATCTGCATCGTTTTTATGTCTATATTCTGATTTACCTCATTTTGTATTTTGCTTTGTGTGTTACCTGTTGTTTTGTCTGTACAGCACTTTGGTTGGCCTTGTCGCTGTTTTAAGTGCTCTATAAATAAAGTGGTATGGTAATAAAAGGAAGTGTGTAGTAGAGTTTTAACTTGACCTCCCATGTCTTTTTGCCAATGACGTCTAACTCTAAAAAGATTCAAGAATTCATGGTTCTTTATTTGTCATTCGTACCTCATGTGGTACATGTGGTGGAACGAAATTATGTACACAGGGTCTCAGTTACATCCAACAATAAAATGTAAAAGAAAAACAGTAATAAGATCTAAGATATGAACTAAGAAAAACATCAACTAAATATACACTAAGCACTAGTAGCATAAAAACATTACGTAGAACAGCAGCACGAACATGGATATCTAGAAAAATATATTGATAAGTTTCAACCAGTGGAAACAAATCTCTTTATATAACATATACTGGGGGACTCTCCCCAGTTCATCAAGAATAGCATAATTACTAACCCTTCTGGTGATATTTAGACGTCTTTTGCAAAACTAGATCTATGTTTATTGTATACATTCTGCATGTTTGTATCGCTATATATTTCTAAATGATATGTCTTAAAGAAAATTTATTTTCACTATGTGGCCATTTGATTGCTTTAAATAAGTAGATCTGACCGTCCATCCATCCATCCATTTTCTTCCGCTTATCTGGGGTCGGGTCGCGGGGGTAGCTTCCTAAGTAGGGACCTCGGCTTGGCGCTTGTCTTTATGTCAAATCATATTGTAAGATGGGTGAACACCATGCTTGATTTCTTCAGTAACAGTAATCTTCTGTCCTTGTCTCTCTCAGCAAAGGAAAGACCACATTATTAAAACACATAGCCAACAGAGCTCTCAGTATCCCCCCCAATATTGATGTGTTGCTGTGTGAACAAGGTGAGTGGCCTGTCCCGATGTGTCCTCCCTCCATCATCTCACTGTGTTACAGCCCAAAGGCTTCACTCCTGTTCCTGTTGTTCCTTTTAGAGGTGGTGGCCGATGACACTCCAGCAGTACAGGCTGTCCTAAAGGCCGACACCCGCCGCCTGAAACTGTTGGAGGAAGAGAAACAGCTTCAGGCTCGTCTGGAGAAAGGAGAGGATGCTGTGTTGGAGAGACTAGACAAGGTAAACGCTTTGGAGTGTCCTGCACACATATTCATCCTTCTTGGATCTTCATCGTTATCAGTCTCTTCAGGTCCGTCTCTGTGGTCTTGGTCCATCTAACCCAGGGGTCACCAACACGGTTCCAGTGGGCACCTGGTCGCCCGCAGGGACTGCGTGAGTCGCCCGTGGAGCATGTTCTAAAAATAACGCTAATCATCAAGGAGCACACCTAAAAATCATCATTAATTAAATTCTTTAATTCTTCCTTTCTTACTCCTCATGCTGCTGCCATCCTTGTCCATAGCCTTATCACCTCCAAGATTGATTATTGCAACTCTTCTTTTTGGTCTCCTGAATAAGACTCTCCATAAACTCAAACTCCTCCAGAACTCTGCAGCTCGGGTCATAACTTGTACTCCATTCAGAGAACACATCACCCCGGTTCTGCAGCAGCTTCACTGGTTGCCCATAGAAGCTAGAATAAATTTTAAAATCTTAACTCTCACGTTCAAGTGCATCCATAACCTTGCCCCTTCTTACCTGTGTGATCTGCTTCACATCTCCACTGCTTCCCATTCCCTCAGATCCTCATCTGCCACTCATTTTATTGTTCCTTCTGCCCGTCTCGTCACCATGGGGAACAGAGCCTTCAGTCACTGTGCTCCTCAGCTCTGGAACTCCCTCCCTCCTGTCATCAGGAACACAGACTCTCTTCCCTCTGTTAAATCACAACTGAAAACACCTGTTTAAACAGGCATATTCTCTTTAACTTTGTTTTAACTTTGTTTTAAGTGTTGTTTTATCGTGACTTGTTTTAATTATTTGTTGATTCAGTTTTTATTAATTGCTGATTTTAATTGTTTTTGTAAGGTGACCTTGGGTTTTTGAAAGGCGCCCTGAAATAAAATTTATTATTATTATTATTTGTAGTGATTTAGGGACAGCTTTGCTGTAGACACACTACTAATTAATTATTCTTAAAGCTAGTTCAAGCACAAAGAATATTAATTGTTTAATAACAACGGATTCTTTCTTTTTCAAGTTAAATTTCTGCCATGTGACCGAGATAACTGTGAGTGTATTGTTTAATCAGTGACATGAGACGCCATTTTATCTTTGACCCATCAGAATAAATGCAGCCATTTATTTAACAATCAAAATTTAACATCAAAACATGTACACATTGATTTGCTGATCTGTTTCTGAGTAATAAAAACTTGGCACGCTTTAATAACAAGACAACAGAACATTACTGATTGAGGCTGATTCACCTCTGAAGGCATCTAGATTACTAGCTAATAAAAAAGTTTAAGAGAAGAAATAGATTTAAAAGGAAGATGGATGAAGGAAGATGTATGTTTGTTGACCAGAATTAGCACTCTTCTTTCAACAACAGCTCAAACCCCCGGTCCACTTAGTGCGCGACAACTCATGACGTCTCTTTACCTTCGCAGTGGATGGATCAGCTTTAGTATAGAAGTCCCTTTGCACGCTACCTTTACAGCGTCTCCGGTCAGGGCGGCTGGTCATCGTCAGAAGTCGTGTGGTTTACTCCGTTCAACAGAACAAGCTTCCTTCGAAGTTGTAGGGCGTTACGCCCGGGTGAGTTCACAGCGAGGCGCTGTGACTCCGCTGGGATGGACGGACCCTCGTCTCACGGTCAGATCCATCAGCTATTGATTAAATCTGAAAGTTCCTTAGGAACTCTCAGTAAGACTCCAGTCAGAAATTCCACTCAGAAGTGGAAGACTCCGGGGAAGACTTCAAAGAAGAAGACTCAATGAAGACTCAAGGAAGACTGCAATGCCCCTTTTCCATTAGTATCGGTACGGACCAGTACAGCATGGCTCTACTCTACTCGGTACGGTACAGGTTGTGTTTCCATTATGCTTTCAGTACCGGTTCCAGTGGGCGGGGTTCAAATTGACGTCACCACCTCTCAACAGCTGGTGACGCTGTGAAACCGTTTTCAGTACAGGTTGAGAATTTATGTTATTTTGAAGTTGTGTGTATGTATGTATGC